CTTTCTTTATCCACAAGTAAACTTACCACTTTCACTCAATCTCTTAAACTGCTAAGTTTCATTGTCTTGGGCAATCTTCGGAAGTGTCACAACTACTTCTGAAACAAAAATCGAGTGCATGAGTGATTAAACTAGAAACTTAAAATGTGGCATCAACAATGAAGTCAAACTTTTAAACCTAATGGACTTGTTATGTCTAGGGGGAATATTCAGATGGAATGAAAACCATATTAATGCACACAACATATACTGAAGATGTCGAAGATGTGAAGATTTTAAAGCTTTCATAAGACAATAGTACATGTTGGGTTTTTTTTTGTTCATGCTCTTGGTCTCAAAGCTAGTCCAGACATCAGACATTTCTGTTTCTTACATCATCCCTGCAAATCTCTTTTGATTAATACAGATTCCAATGTATCGTAGCCAAGAAATATTAAAGTACCAGCTTCTGTTAGTCATTATTCACAGGGATTAGTGTGCATTACGAGGCATAGTTACAGAGGTGAAATGAAGGCCACATGGCAGATGTTATATCCATGTGACAAGAAATTATTGTGTTATAATAGGTATCTTTTGATGGGCAGAGGAGAACGAATACTTTAAATTTGTGGAGATGGCATCATCACTTCAGCAAGGGAAACCAATAAAAGTAACAATAAAATGTTGTCTCTTGACATCATTACACAATTTACCATATTTCTTGACATTCTTTCACAGCCCGTGTCAGAATAGTTCTTTAATTGCAATTCGCTTTATTCTCATAATTGATTGGTACTTAATTCCTGGAAAACTGATGGAAAAAACTATTTCTCTTTGAAAGGTCAGGGCCTTGTACAGAAATGTATGGAGGATATAAACCAATGGTGCTGGCTATTAAAAACTGGAGGCACATAGTGCTGCCCATTGTATTAACTGTACGTGCTCACACATTTGGTGTAGGTGTAGATATACTTGTATGTGTATGGTTTCTCAGTTTAATTAAAAATGTCATGCTTATGTTTTATTCAAGAGTGTTGAATGCTGATTTTATCATAAAAGTGGCAAGTTACAAAGTAAAACCCTGCAGTTCTTGCTTCCAGTCTTTTGCTTTCTTATTAACAGGTCAAGCTTTGAGAACATAGTGTTCTCTTTTTAAAAAAATTAAATAGTAAACTCTTTTAAAGACCTGCTGTTTTGCTTTCCTTCCTATCTGCTGTACTGTGGTTTTCCAGGTTAACCTAAAAAAATATTCTGTACTGCAGAAGGAAGCTGTGCAAAGATGTATCACAGAGACCGGGTGTTGAAACACACAGCTGTCCTGTTCTGTGTACTGTACAAGGAGTCTGTAAAAATAATCTAGCTGTCAGTTTAACAGCTGATCGTCTTTAAAAATCCCAGGGGGTATAGGTTTGACCAGTAATTGATAGATAATTTTGCCTTTTCAGAGCAGAATATTTATTATGAGCGTAAAATTTAAGGTCAATTCATGTCATAATAACCTTCTTTCGTTCATCCAGATGCGTCACTTGTGAACACAGTCTCATTTGCAGTGACATTCTGGACAGCACCTATTGACAGATGTTCTGTTCTCAAGGGTACGACAGCAGTGCTTGAACTGGGATTTGAACACACAGCCTTCCAGTATCAAATCCAGAGACCCTAACCATTATAAAGTCAGAGGGGAATCAAGTCTGAATCCTCTCTTGAGAAGTTTAGTCTGCTTCCCAGCCATTGCAAGGATGTACCTGGTATTGAAGATTTCATACTATTGTACTCGTAGCAAATGTTTTTAAAAAACAAAACAAAACATTAACTATAGATTAACTATAGTTGCTCCTTAACCTTTTAGAAATTCAAGTTCAACTAAAAAGAGAGTGGGAATCAATTTGCTTTTTGATGATGCTATACAAAATATTCCTTTAAAATTAGTAAGTAAGCTTGGTGGCCTCCCCTCACTTAGAAGCTGTCACCGTTAAGAATACGTATGCCTTTACATTCCTGTTCACTTAATGATGTGTCTGTACGGTATATTATTTAAGATACTCTTTTTGACACAAGAAATATGTTGCATATTATGTATAAATATGGAGATCACATGTGCCAAAATCTATAATCACTTTAACAAAGTGTCTATCTCCGTTTCAGAGTCCGATCCCAAAACACTGCCTCCTAAAAATGGGATTTTGTTTTATGCATCTGATTAAAATCTACTGAGATTTAACTTGAAATCTTAGCTCTATTGAAGACATGTCTGCATGGCTTTGCACCTGATTAACGTTGTGAAATATGGGTCCCCCAGCCCTTCCTATTCAATCTTCTTATTGTTCTATTGTAGCAGATCATTAGCAGAGAAGGTTTAGTTACTGTGCCTCTAAACTAGATCCAAGTGGCTAGTTCTTTGACTGTTTTAAGGAGATAGCTAAGCATATTCAGCCTGTGTCTGTTTTGGATAGGGTTATGTGTCCTTAGATTTTTGTTTCCTTGTGTTGTTTATATTAGCCAGTTTGTTCTGTATTTTAACTTTCTTGACGCTATTTTTTTATCTTGTCAAGTGCTCTAAAATGCGCTGTGTGCATTCCGCCATATAGTGTAACAAGACGTTTTCACAGGCCTCGGATGTTTGTCAAAGTGGTTTTCAACAACATCACTGATTGGTATCATTTCCTTTCTTTACAGGTTTTGGCTATAATATCCATCCTGTTCATCGTCCTGTCAACCATTGCACTGTCCCTAAACACTCTGCCTGAACTGCAAGAGATAGATGAGTTCGGGCAGGCCAACGACAATCCCCAGCTTGCGCACGTTGAGGCTGTGTGCATCGCGTGGTTCACAATGGAATACCTCCTGCGCTTCCTTTCTTCGCCGAATAAGTGGAAATTCTTCAAAGGGCCCTTGAACGTCATTGACTTGTTGGCAATCTTGCCCTATTACGTCACAATCTTCCTGACGGAGTCGAACAAGAGCGTTCTCCAGTTCCAGAACGTGAGGCGGGTTGTCCAGATATTCCGGATCATGAGGATATTGAGGATTCTGAAACTGGCACGGCATTCCACGGGACTGCAGTCTCTAGGGTTCACCCTCAGGCGGAGCTACAACGAGCTGGGGCTGCTCATATTATTCCTGGCAATGGGGATAATGATATTCTCGAGCTTGGTGTTTTTTGCTGAGAAAGACGAAGATGCCACTAAGTTTACTAGCATACCTGCCTCCTTCTGGTGGGCTACGATCACTATGACAACAGTGGGCTACGGAGACATTTACCCACAAACACTTTTGGGAAAGATCGTTGGGGGGCTTTGCTGCATCGCAGGGGTGTTAGTCATAGCCCTGCCTATTCCCATCATTGTGAACAACTTCTCTGAGTTCTACAAAGAACAAAAGAGACAGGAGAAAGCCATCAAAAGAAGAGAGGCTCTGGAGAGGGCAAAGAGGAATGGAAGTATTGTTTCCATGAACCTGAAGGATGCTTTTGCTCGAAGCATGGAGCTAATGGATATAGTAGTGGACAAGGGGGAAGACAAGCGGTCACAAGACAACCACCTGTCACCAAGCAAGTGGACGCTGTCCAAGCGTACTTTGTCTGAGACCAGCTCCAACAAGTCCTATGAGACAAAGTACCAAGAGGTTGTCCACCTCGGTTCGCAGGAACGTTTAAATAACCCTAATGGTAGCCCGCAGCGCCTCAACGCTCAGAAGCTGGAAGAAATGTATAATCAGATGACTAAAGCCCATTCAAATCCCAGCGTTAACACAGCAGGGGAGGAACAGCGTGAGCAAGCGCCGAAGCAGGAAACAGAAGTAGAAATGAAAGTGGCTCCATCGCCATCAGACCCACTGCTGAAGGAACGCGCTGTGACTGACATCAGGAGCATTTCGAGCATCGACAGCTTCGCAAGCTGTGCAACAGACTTCACAGAAGCTGAAAAATCTCCTGTTCCTCCGAGCATAACAGGAATTTTACAGATGAGGCACCCAAACGTGCACCTTCCCCAAGAGGAGGGGCAGCCTTCCCTTCCGGAGGGCAAGACTGATGAGAAAGGCAGGGAGAGAACCATCATCAAGGACGGACTCTACGAATTCATACCTTACAATCCAGACAGTGAGATTTTGTCGCCCAAGCAAGACCATCCAGAGTTCCACAGAGTAGTTGACAGTATCAGGAGCTCCTTACGAAGCAATAACCCCGCAAAGACGAAAGCTCTCAAGGTGAATTTTATTGAAAATCCAGGCAGTGCTCCACAGACACCCCCCAGCACTGCTAGACCACTGCCCGTGACAGTGTCGGACATGATGGTGTCATCTCCTCAGCACATCAGCACCATTCTCCTGGAGGAGAACTCTCCACAGGGAGAGAGACCCTCTCTGAGCTCCGGCCTAGCGGTGCTTCAGCAGGCCCCTTGTAAAGACTCCCCTCCGTCTGCGAAGCAAGGCCACTTAGGCTTCCAGCCCAAAGGGCAGAAGAGCTGCGTCGATGCAAACAGCGACGAAGAAGCTCAGTGCTTAGAGTGCCGAGAGCAAGAAGATGAACTGATCCCCTCCAAAGAAAACCACAAGCAGAAGAATCACGTTGAAGACGTGGCTCTTGTAGGCCCTTCTTCACCGAAAACGCCCACACACAACTGCACCCAAGGTGCAATCCATGCTGTTGGGGAAGGGAAGAATGACAATAACCAAAGTGGACTCAAAGTGGAAAATCACATGTTTACGCCAGAGATTCATATAAGGCCTGGGGATGGTGGTTTCTCACCCACATGTGAAACCAGCATGTGACTGTGGAGCGCAGTGATGTAAACCACTGACTCACTAGGAGGTGAAGCCTGTTAATAAAAAGGCACGGCACACCAGTGGGGTGAAAGAGATGTTGTTGCATGGCATGATGAGTCATTTTAACTAAATCACTGTTTGTCTCAAGAAAAAAAACAAAACAGACTGCTTTCCTTTGCAGAAAAGTGACTTGAAAACAGTGGGTACAAACAGGCGGCTCAGTTCAGAGCACATATATTGCAGTATGAAGACATTTTTAATCTAAATGTAAATTTTAACCTCGTATTAAACCTTTTTTTTTGTTAGCTACTGTAAGAAATGCACAAAGAGGGAGAAATCTTTAAAAAAACGCATGCATTTAAAAATGTAATTCAAAGGTGCTTCGTTTGCAGAATGCATTTCACTGTACATACAATCGGAGAGATGGCAAGAGCACACAACATGATAAAAAGAAGTGATCTCTGAATTGGGGGGTGTGTTTGAAAACATAAAATGCAGGAGACTACAGACAGTATGTTGCAAGGTAGCCACCTATAAAAACACAAGTAACATATCATGACTTTCTGTGGAAAATGTGTTCCATAAAGATTTTATTTTAAGAAATGAATATGTGCTATAACATGATCATATATTTGGTTAGTTTATAAATAGATGTTTTATCATAACATTTAGACTTAATGACCAGAAATGGAGGTTTTCAATCATCCTCCTACCCCATACACTTTACAGAACTACAGTATATAGTTGCCAAAATTACTGTCAGTGGGTTAAACAAACGTCACGAGGAATAATGACATCCAAGAATCAGGTGCTTTGTGAATGTTTGAGTATTCCACCGGCTTGGTTAAGAGGTAACCTCCTGGCCACAGGCTGAGGGGGCAGAGGTGCAGAAGGGATGGAGGCAGGATGAATGAAAAAACGTGGGAACAGGTGTGTGCGAGAGTGAAAGTCGGTATTGATTGCAATTTGAAACCGCTGATATGAATTCCGGGATCAGAACCATTCTCCCAACGCAACAGGGAAATGTTGCTTATACAATGCATAGGCATCATGCGGCAGATGTACTGTAAATAAAGAGCTGGTAGCTGACTAATAAATTAAGATCTTATTTTCAGAACTCATGGTTAGTTCAACATGTCTGGTCATTAAGTCTTACGCAGTCTGTGTATTGCATCCTCACAAAAGTAGTGATATTCTTTTCGCCGTCAGAGGACCAAAAAATCACATTCTCATGCTTTTACTTACAAACATTTCATCTGCAAACAGCGGTTTATGCACATTAATCGCAGTCATGTGAACAGCACAAAGTGTCAAGTTGTTTTTGTTACTTCCATATAACTAAAACACATCCCAGTGAGCTCGGACAACTCCTTTCAACTGCTTGTTGTGTAAAATCCATTGTTGTCCAATCCAACTACATTTTTAAAACAAACCTGCAATGTCTTTTTGTATTCATGTTTGTGTATTTTTGACAGCATCATTTTGTGCACTAAACTAATCTTCAAACTAAAACCCAAAGTTTCACTCTGTAGCTTTCCTCACACACTGAATACACCTGATTTATGTTGCCTTTTTTCAGTAAGCACCGAAGAACGTATCTTGCTTTGGCAAGTCTCTTCACTGAATGTTAAAAGAACCTCCTGACACATCAATCCCAACAACATGCGTGTGGAAAACACTGAATATTCTCAGTCTTCTCCTGGTGACACAAACCTGGAAAGAGCAATATACTGAAAACTATGCAGGCAAATAATTGTGATGTTTTAACGCTGTTGTTCTGTTTTGAATTTATGAAGTGTATTGTCAGAAACAAAAACACACATCTTCATCATGATTTCAATAAATATCTGTTTACACATTCAACACATGGAACCCATGCTACAGGAAGTTCAAACTTTCAACCCGTCCCTGCTATGAAAAAGTGTAGTTTTCATCATCATATTACTTTTTAAAGGAATAGACATGCAGTATGTTGCTGCAAAAGGACAAACAGGTTTGACCAAGAATGGTGGTGGTGTTACCCTCATGTGTGGCTTCTCTGCAGACGATGCCCAGTTGTTTCTGCTTGTACTCGTTAAGTAAAGATCAGTATTCTGAAGGCCTACAGAGGCCGATTAGCTAAAAAATAAAATGAATGTTTGTTTCTCCAGCCCATACATAAATTTTCATTAAGAATAAATAGATCATTGTCTATATATACATGTACATGTATATAAATATATGTATTAATGTGTGTAAAAATGCCACATAGACCATTATTAATAAATAACAGATTTATGTTTTGGTGAAATGCTAATATTAAGAATGATACTATTTTTTCTCAATACAAAAATCAAGAATGGTCACAATTTCCTGCCAAATGGTGGTTGAAATTATGCGTGCCTTTTCATAAATAGTTATTTATGAGAAGGCTAAAAGACATTTGGCTTTGTTCATATAGCATTGTACAGGAGATTCTACTTTTTTATAGGCAGAAGTCAGGTCTTTAAAGAATAGACATACATGTATACATATTATTGAATTCTCAGGTTTTGTATAAATCACTGAAGTTCAAATGACATTTTAACTAGCATGATTTTTAATTTGCAGGTAATGATAAGTGAGTTCTTACATTTTTTATGATGTCTTCAGTAGTTTATTAATGGCAGGGCAATCAGGGGTCTGGTGATACAGCTAAACCTCACCTTCCTGTCCCCTGCTCCTTAATAAAATTATTTTTATTTCCCTGATACTGTGCTGGACTGATAGGGTACTCTCTGCTGTAAGAGGGCCAATGATTCAGGCTCCTAGGTTATTTTGGATAACTTTGGCAAAGATAGAGCTGAGAAAGTGCAATCATCAATGAATGTAGTTTTCTGATTTCCAGACTGAACAAGGATTTGTGCTTCTTTCCTTGGCTTTCTGTGAACTGGGCATGTTCCCTCAGAAAAAATGTCCCTATAAAATGTGCAGTTCAGAAGTGTAGTGTGTGCTTACACACCATTTTGACACGTTTCAACCAGCTGTTCTCAGTCCTCGTCCTGGGAGGCCACTGGATCTGCTGGGTTTTGTTCCAGCTGGTCCTTAATCTCCCGGTGCTCAATGATGCATGTAATTGATCCTCATGTTTACATTTCTGTAGCACTCTGTTCTAGGCTTTAAAAGTACTCTAAGAAATATTATTTCCCAACACCCTCAGTGCACAGTGTACTGTATGCAGTCTGTCCTCAAATGTCTAATTCATTATTTGTTCCCTTATTTGTAAATGAAAAGCCCTTAATAGGCAATTGTTTAATAATGGACAGACATGGGTGGGAATGAAAATGTACTGTATCGGAAATTCCCACAATGCCAGTTTCTTCCTTCATTCTGCTGGAGTCCAATGGCCTTAGTTTCCAGCCCACACAAGGTCTGAGTCTCGGGAACTGGCAGATGTTTGCCATCAATTCCAGACTCCATCCAGCCTCTTAAGAGCTGAAAGAAAATTTTAAAAACACACCGGAAACAAAAAAATGAAAGCATTTTCCGTGTGATTAAGAATTTTGTTGACGCTAAAACCAGAAAGGCACAGCAGTTCTTGAGGACCAGGGCCGAGAGCCACAGTCTTAGTGGCTGTGGTGCCAAGCTCACCTGATCTTCACTGTCAGATCGTGAGATTGCTTCTTGTGGACATTCCACTGTGCCACTGCAGACTCCTCTGCATCCCCGATGGTACTGGCTGAGTACCTGGGGACTGAGCAGAGACATCGACTTCACCGCTGTTCTTGTGCTTCGTGTTGAGTACCAGTGTTCTTTGAAGAAGGCGTCCGCATCAGCAAATGGCTCTGTCAAGACACCGCCACCTTCATCAGTACATCTATAAGGTCTGTCTTTGTTTGGCACCTGTCAAACTGCTTTGAACACATGGGGATTTTTAAAATGATACTGTCAGTTGTTTTTTTTACTTTTGAATGGATTTCTTTTGGATTAACCTTCCAAAATCCTCCATTTACAGGCTATATTGTGTGAGGATTTTTTTTCTTTGATTTTGTTTTTGTTTCTTAAGGTGTTTCTCTTCAAGGAAATTCAGTGAAATCTTTGGTTTTAAATTGTGAGGAAAAACATGGAAACATACTGGATCATGAACTTGCCATGTTCTCTCACAAAGAACTTAAGAACATAAGGATGATTTCTGTAGGAATGCTGGAATTAACCGCATAATGGGACAGCAGAGGAATTGTCAAAAAAGCTATTGCATGACATGATCGTTTCACCTTAATTTATTTCTTGCAAGAACTTTTTGTTTGCTTTTTTGATTTTTTTCTTTGCCCTTTCAGCTTTGAAAGGTTAATGTTTCTGCCATGTTTTTGTCATCTATCCATAGTGATCCACTTTCCAAACACATAATTGTTCCATCTCCATTTCTCCAGCCTAGTTTTGGTTATTAAGGGTTCTATCATGTAATTTGAGCTGCAGACTCTCTGTACATTTCAGCATCTCTGTATGCATGTAATAGTCTGTACAATTTGTGACCACAGAATACTTTATTTTACGTCAAGATGTCTGTAATGATTAACACCATTGTTCCCCATTAGGCCTATTAGCATATGCAGGATAACAAATAAATATGTATATAACTCATTTCTGTCTCATGTCTGCTCTGCACCATGGTCATTATCCCATCATCTTGCAGCAAGCCATGTTTTTAACACTGTGTCCAAAGGGAGTTGCTGGCAGTGTCATGGAGAATTAGTGACATGATTTATGTATCATTTCATCACAGTACAGTGTTAAAGCATTTGATTTTGAACTTTGCTGTGTTCTGAATCCACATTGGCACATGATTGTTAATCCCAAGGCTGGGATTAACGTGTGATAGGACATCCTGTGAACACAAAGGACAGAAAACAGAGAGCTGGGTGACAATCTTCAGGAGCTTTGTTCAATTAAAATCAGGCTAGGAGAATACAATAAATGTGAATGTATAATCAGCTCATTTGAGTAGCTTTGAATACTAATGCAGTGTTAGGGAAAATGTACACTCCAGCTGGGATATAAAATCCCAGCACAAGAGAAAAACAGCCCAAGAAAATATATTCATGTTCTGCTGCCATTAGCTTTATAGTATCTGTTCAGAATTGACTGATGCGTTTACATGTTCGTCCATCGGAATGACACAGAATAATATATTGGTCTGCAAAGATAACTGAGCCATCTTTAATGACGTACAGTAATTAGTAGAAATCTCAAGACCAGCCCTCTGTACTAGGATCATTGCTCTTCCCAATACATATCAATGATATATAGTAGTTCAGGTGGGTAGCTGCGTCAGCATGCGTAGGCTGCAAAGGAACAAGTAATAGGTTTATTCCATGCTGAATAAGCATGGAATAAACCTATTACTTGTTTCAATGATATATATTCTGGTAAAGTTAGCAGGAGTCAAATTAGCTAATAATCAAACTGGAAGGATTCACGCACAATGTAGAAGCTGCAAAAGAAATTCAAAATGACTTCGATAAAATTCAGGTCTTTTCAAAATGACAGCTTACATTTAAAGTGAATTTGTACCAGGTGTTTCAAGCAGTTAACAAAACCCAAAACTATAAATGTACTGCATATAGCTGATAGTGGATGACTCTAGCCTTGAAGTGGCTACTACTGAAAAGGTCTAAGATGTTTATGTAAGAGCAGAGAGAATTTAGAGATACTGTGTATTTTACAATATAGAATTTAAGGAATTTTCTATAATGTACTAGTCAGACCTTTCTTGGAGTATTATGCTCTATTTTGATCACCAAAATACAAATTCTGGTGCTCCAATTAACCAATAAACAGCTGGTTAATTAATCTGAGAATCCCATCTATCCTTTTTTTGAGAGAAGCCAGTTTCAACAATATCACTGGGTAGTTTGTTCCTGACTCCTATAAACCTTTTATGTGCAGCATAACACTGCCCCCTGTTCTGAGATTTTAATGCACTATATACACTATATTTGTGGGGTTTGAATTGTATGTCACTGAAGGAGTAAAGATAAGATCAACTACAGTACCTACTGTAAATTCTTTGGTTCTTAAAATGACCTGCTAAAAACACCAAATCCTTTTCATAGAGAAGGCTATGAGGAAGCCTGATGAAGACAATCCTCGGGCCCTCTTCTGAAGAAACAGTGAAACAGGAACAGAAGACACAGGTGGAACCTACGGAGAAGTGCACTGGGAGCACTTGTACACAGAGCATGAAGTATCCCAGCCACGTTGCTGGGCTTCGTTCTAGAAACAGCTGGGTGAGGCCCTCGGATTAATTAGCTACCAAAATACGAGTCAGAGGAGCCCCTCTTGTTTGTGAATGTTCCCATGTTCTTATGTGTGCTGCATAAGATAGTGTTCTGTGTGATGCAAGTAGTATCTCCATAAAACTATGTAAAAGCTCTTATACCAATAGCCCAGGGTGCTTGAAAAGTTATGTGGACTTTTCAAAGACATGTTTTATGGACAATTGTGAACCCGGGAGGGTCAGTTAAATCGGGTTCATACCTATTGGAAAAACAAACTGCAGAGCTGGGAGCACATGTTGTACCTAAGGACAAACACTGCACAACCAAGGGTATTAAAAGCGCTTCATTTATCACTATGTAATGCATTTCAGCCATCATGGATGCCTGATGTAGTCGCACATTGAATTATTATTATTATTATTGTTGTTGTTGTTGTTGTTGTTATTATTGTTATTATTGATACTTGTGCATTTACTTATTTTGCACCCATGACACATTGCACACATACTTGTGGGGTGTACACATACACATACAAGTATGTGTCAACATACTTGTTGACACCTGAAGAAGGCTCCGCGGCCGAAACGTTGTGTTCTCTTTCTTCTTTTTTTCAGCATGGAATAAACCTATTACTTGCTCCGTTGCAGCCTACGCATGCTGACGCAGCTACCCACCTGAACTACGTTGCACACATTGTCACATATTGTCTCAATCTATTGTCCAAAATCTATTTTGGACAGCAGCTAGACTAGTGATACATGCAGAATTACATGAGAAAGTATTGGATGTTAAAATACTGCGAAGGTGATTATTTTAGTAATGTGTTTGCGTGGGTTTGCTCTGGGTGCTCTGGTTTCCTCCCACTATCCAGCAGTTGTAGTAGTCGGCTAACTGTCTTCTCGGAAAAACCGGCCCTGTTGTGAGTGTGGGCATGTTTGTGTCTTTGCGTGCAATGGGCTGGCGTCCCATCCAGGGTGTATCCTGGGATTGGCTCCAGCTGCCCCCCGCAACACTGAATCGGATGAAGTTGGGAGAAGACGGATGGACGTACTTCACACGTATCCTAACTTTTGGTTCATTCGACTTTTTTATTGTTTGCTCTCATTGTGTCGAAGCTAGTTCAGGTGGGGAGCTGCGTCAAAATGCATAGGCTGCAAAGGAACAAGTAATAGGTTTATTCCATGCTGTAAAAAGAAGAAAGAAAACACAACGTTTCGGCCATGGAGCCTTCTTCAGGAGCACCTGAAGAAGGCTCCACGGCCGAAACGTTGTGTTATCTTTCTTCTTTTTTTCAGCATGGAAAAACCTACTACTAGTGTCGAAGATGCCAATTAAAGTTGTGAACAAAGCAGCAGTTCAAGTGGGGTTTCGCTCAGGAATCCATTCGCTTCTCTGTCTTTTTGAGTGGGGGATGATCCGTACACGGACAGGCGAGAATGAATCTCATCCACTCAGAAAGTGGACATGTAACATCCACGTGAGCAGGATATATGCCATTCAGCTTATTAATTGTTGAACAATTGAATACAGTGTTGCATTACTCTTATATTCTGTATCACATCATAGCACTGTCATCTCAATTGTTTTTCTGTAATATACTGTATGTAGGGAAGCACTAGGTATAAATATTAGGAACTGCATTGACTTTCACACTTAGGAATTTGTTGATTCATCGCGTTACCTCATTTCATGCAAAAAACCTGTCAAAGGAAAATGAGAATCAACAAAGAGCAAGTAGGGATGTAAATGGTGTCAAGGTCATACTTCAGACACACACTTTGCAAATCAAAGCTCAATTTCTTTATTTCTTTGTTTCCTGAAGCGAAGTGCCTTGATGACTATGAAGCCGGAAAACCAATTTGCAAGCTCTTTCAGTTTGCGCCAACATTGCCTCCGTTTTGTTATTAAGTATTGCTCATCACTGGCAGTGCAGTGTGTGTGTGTGTGTGAAACACTCCCAGCAGGAAGGAATTCCCTGTTGCATTCCCTCCTCAGAAGATCATATTGGAAGCTGTTCTCTCTGACAAATATAAATCAGAAAATGTGAAGGCAGGAGACGTCACACGTCTGATCTCCCTGTTTGATCAATGTGAGTCACGAGTGACTAACCACCAATCTTCAACATTTTTCAGCCAAATAAATCACCAGGGAAGGATGAACAAATTTAAGCTTATGTAAGGAGGCAATTGATCTACTCGCTGTATCACATTTAGAAACAGAGCAGGAACGAACAGCCTAGTATGGGTTTATTCCAATGATTCTTAACATCCGAATTGGTCTCACACCACTGGCTTCTGTAAAGTGAGCACCCATTTATTTTCTAAAATTGGACTGTTATTTGTGTGTGTGATTTAGTTTGAGATTAGGCTTGCTCTGGAGCAATCACGGTTCATGCCTCCAATATTTTGTATTAAAAGGCACACAGTGATCATTTTTAATACAGGCATGCTCAAGACATTTTTGGGAATGAGTCTGAGACCAACAGAACATACAATACTTGATTTCACAATCTCATTACGATTCCACCTTCCAAGTGCATTTATAGAAGCTTCAATTTCACTGTATATGTAATAAATTAGTTATCTCAATTCAGGCATTTGTGAAATTGATTATCAATCAATACTTCTTATTCCCACTGGACTTTGAAAAGCAAACTGCATAGAATTGATGTTCGGGATGCCAGATAGAAAGCCCTTATTCCCTTTAAAAGAATGTTTAACGCTGTCTCATTGTGTGCACAAAAATAGACACCCAGAAAAATAGTTTGGGTATTAAAAGTATAGATTTCCTTCTGTAATGTCCTGGGAAATGTGAATTCAATACACTACAATTAAATCTAAAGTGAGCCTTTTATTTTTTATCTAGAAAAAATATGTAGAACACTGTTTTGTGGCAGGATTAATTCTCAATGTAATGACATCATTAAAGGTAAAAAAACACTGCCCATCATGTTTTACTTTATTCAGATTGCAAAAGATAGTCTGTTGGAATATATAAACTCACTTAAGGCAACAGATAAACCATGAGACGTTTTGCAGCTTAACGGTGTGCGCAAGCCCAGAAATGTGTTTTGCTTTCTAAAAAAAATGGATAAAAATAAAAATGAAATTATTTTTTCATAAACAATGCATTGGATTGTGTCTTAAGGAATCCTTGCAGATTTCCTTTGATCTCACACTCTTTTTAAAAGGAATTCCGCATAGGTTAACAAAGAACAGAAGTCCTTTACTGAGCTCTGCACATGTTGTTGATGGGAATTAGCATCTGAGTCCGTGGGCTGTCCTCCCACTCCTGCTGCAGTCCTACCTCTCTGATTGATTCAGGGTGATGAGCAGATACTGTGATGTCATTACTGAAGTCTGTGTACAAACGCACTAACTAGAAATGTAAAATATTCACTCGAATAGTGCTCCTCTGTATTCACAGGTCCATGACGTGCTTTTTAATTTTTCTTATGGGCAGTCAAGCAATTTGTATTTGCGATCATAAGATAAATATGAATGATACTATAAGCACAATTTAATACAGTATATATATTAGATTAATACCTGCATATATTTAATAGTGTAAGGACAAAAAAACATAGTACTGAACTCATTGATTTCAAGTGACAATCATCATTGGGACAGTGTAAATGGGAGAGACTGGCATTCTAGTATTTGGTATATGGTGACCCACTGAACTGACAAAGCTCTTCATGTGATCATTTCAGACACTTTTGCTGCATTATTGCCCATTCTTGTCATGTTCTGATTTACTCAAAGTGACTAAGTTGGACTTAAATCTGGAGGTTGACTTAGTATAAGTATTGACTTGGGCTAAGATTTTTCTCCTGATGAGCTTCTTTAGGTTGTATTGGCTGTGTGATTTGGGACACTCATTACATATGGAAGCATTTCTTCTACATAAGAAAACAAAATGTTTCTGTAACCTATAGAATTAATTCTTTTGCTGCCATCAATTGGCAAGAGAGACAGTTCCTCCACCATAAGTGGAGATGAGTTGATGTCCACAGGACTCTCACAGTTCCAGGTTTTCCGGGTTAGTCTTTGTAACCCCACAAATTCTAATCTGGGTTTTCTGTTTTTGCTGTTGATGGAAGATATACATGGTGTGATGTTGTCTTATAGAGATTTAAATAGCTGAATCAAGTCACCTCTTTCTACTGTTAAGATCTGAACCCGTGCAAGCATAGTCTTTTCCTTTTCTTTGCCACTGTCATTTTCTCAATCAGGCAACCAATAATTCAACGATCAGCTCCAGGAGCAACTATTTAAGGCTTTCTCTCTGCTCACCTCACTGCTCCAACTTCGAGTGAGCTGCAGGGTCAGGTTCTGGGGACTGCACCTTAAGTTTGTTTTATTCCTTTAGCCCTGAATGAGCAGGGCTTTGTTTCCTTGCGGCATTTCTTTTTTGCTTGTGGGACTTCTGCCTTCGGGGAGACAGTCTTTCTCAGCTGGGAGAAAGAGCCTCAGAGCGGGCGGGCAAAAGGTTTACTTTTTTCACTGCTGTTAATGTGCTCCTAACTTACCCTGCCCATTGCTTTAAACCGCTTTTTTTCATTAGCAGCTTATTTCCATCGCCCTCATAACCTGACCAGGTTCTGTCATTTGCCTCCTTAATCCTCACTCCGTCTGAGGTTCCCCACACAGACGCGAGACCCTGCGCCTGGAGCTCGTCTAACTCTCTGCCAGAGCCCTGGTTCTCGGAGACCGCAGCATGACAACAGCAATCTGCAATGAAACCGCTCCAGGCTGGAATGATTACTACCACCAGTAGCTCACACACATGACGGCTTCGAGATGCATCCTAATCGATGGAATCGATGCCCCTCTGGAAACATTGTGTGCACATTCCTATGAAATTATCCCATAGGTGATTCCATGGGTGGGATTGACAGATTACTGCACAGAATACTACCGGTTTACTAGACGTATTACTTCTGGTTTCTGTGTCTCTTTAAATCTTTCTAGAAGTTAAGGCTGTGGGAGAGGGACAAAATGATGCAGTTAATTCTTAATTGAATCGAGACAACACTTTCCCCAAGTGGGATAAGCTGTGTATGGCTAAGGAAAATGTGCAACACCTGCTGAATCTCAGTCTCCAAGAACAACTTTGGGAATCTCTGCACATTCCTGTTAAAAGCCACACTTCACATACAGTATCTTTACTATCACTTTTATTATTTTTTGCTATATTACTATTGATATGTGGACACTGAATACATGTTTTTTTGGTCTAAATGTATAAATTTAACCGCATAGCATGCCATCCAATCACGTCCCTTTAGATAAGATCTAAATTATTAGTCATATACAATTTTTTGTATTAGGAATTTGTCTTTTCGCATACCCCAGCTTGCTCTCCGTGAGACACACAGATAGGGAGAGAAGCTTGGGGTCAGAGCGCAGGGTCAGCCACTTATACAGCACTTTTGGAGCAGTTGGGGTTAAGGGCCTTGCTCAGGGGCCCAACGGAGTAGGATTCCTCTGTCAGCCACGGGATTTGAACCAGCAACAGGTGCAGATCTTTAGCCACAGAGCCACCTTTACTGCACTACCTCAAGACCTGCTAGGTCATATATCTTTCTTGCTTGTTGCCACATCTTGAGCTGTTTTTAATCACTTCCTAGACACATTTACCATTTTTCATGATTCATCTCCTGTAGATCCTCACACAAAAAAAAATCTTCTCACTTCCTTGAACTCCCTCATATCCTCTGTGAGGTGTATGCATCTTCATTCACACAGTCAGATAGGAATAAATATATATATATATCTACTCTGAATTGGCATGAAAGTTTGAGAAGAAAATGAATTTGGAAATATGAAATGTAGCTTTATTATATTCAGGCTTCTCTGTAATTTTACATTCTGAAGCTGTACGCTCAGTTTCAGAGGGTACAAAAACAGAGACAGACACAAGCTCAAAAACATACCTGCAAGCAGGGGTCATTGGTGACCAAGCCAACATATCCTGTTTTAATTACTGTGCAGTTTGACAGTCGAACTTTAATAGAGGCCAAACGTCAGGGAAAAGGACATTTTTGATATTGTTCATAGAGCTTCCTGTTTGTGTCCTATTACAATCATGGAAGTGATATGATTTGTTTGTGATCTTTAAGAAAGTGTTACCCAGTAGCAATGACAGTTTCTGTATTTATAATGTAGTTATAAGCCAGTTTCTGTTGACCACAAGGACGGGTCACATACAACATACAACATTCTAAGGCAGATTTAGGTTGCAACAAATGCAAAAATATAATTTTTAAACACACATCAAATCTGATTGGCTCATGGGGAGAAGTCTGATGTATTTTTTATGTATAAACTTATTTGTAACAATGTTGATTATTATTATTATTTTGTTGTTGTTGTTGTTGTTGTTGTTGTTGTTGTATTTAGCTGAAGCTGTTGTCCAAAGCCACTTATGCTTGTGCCAGCGTATCGTTCTAATATATATGTATAATATTTATTTAACATCTACATACAAAGCAACGATATTTTATTGAGACAAAAATCAGTCATTAAAAGTACTCTACATTATTTTAAAATCACTGAAGTTGTTCATTATTAAATACAACAGCACATGTTGAGTTGTGATTACACGCCGCAACGCTAGATGGCGCTGTGGAATGGAGACAGGGGCTCTTAAACGTCAGCGCTGTCCCCAAATGTAACGGGCGCGCGATTTTCAAGTTTGAAAACAAGAAGGCAAGATGGAGGAGCGGGAGTCCCGCTCGGAAGTGTCTGCGGAGTTTTCAGAAGTTGAACATGTCGCTAAAAGTTGGATGCTGGACTTTGTAATTGGTTCTTTGTGTCATCATTTCAGACACGACAAGTACAAGGAATTCAACCAGTCGCTGAGTGTTTTAGAAGGTATGTGTTAGTGTTAATAGCTCCGTTGATGTTGCTGTTAAAATTTGTTATGGTGCCAGGAACGGCTATTTATCTGAAGGCAGGAAGCCTTCCTACGCTTTTTTGCAGATCAGATACGATGACAGCTGTAAAGTAGTTTCTGAGAAAAACTGCTCTGCAGTTATGCGTTTAAGCATTAAGCGGAGCTGCCAGTGCAGATAACAGTACCCGGTGATCACAGTACATCTTTTTCTCCAGTGTGAGAATGTTGCAACGTTATTGGTCTTATTTTCAGTTTTAAGATTTTCTGCAAATACGTTTCAGAAAATATCAAAGTTTTATCAAAGCAACTTTCATAAATGACTTTCCGGCTGTTCAAATGGACTGGAAGGTGAAATGTGTCAATAAATTTTTAGGCTCAAATTGTTAGGCACTACATTTTGAGCTACCCTAGTCTCTCTGGTGTCTTAATTCGCCACGTTTACACTCTAGAGTCTAGACCATTGGAGTGCTTATACCTAACATACAGTACTGGATTCACATCTGCATCTGCTCTGCCTTTTGTTGGAAGAAAACGTAAAACTCTGATCTTATCTTTTAAAGAAGTCTGTCCAAATGTGCGATAGTCAGCCTGTTATAGCAGTTCAAGCAATCAGAATGGCCCTGGTGTGTTTTAATGTAGCATAATGCTTTTTAAAGGTGGACTCGAAGAAATGGTGATATTACCACAGCAACATGATTCATGCAATTTAAATTCTCAACTATGCTCGATTGCTCTAAGATGTACCAGCTGTACTTTTTATCCCTAATTTGAGTGTTACCCTTGTGTATTTCTAGCTTTGATTCCGGGATTTGGTCAGTTCAAGTCTTATCAGAAGAAGATGATTAACATCTGTTTTGTCCTGTCCAGGATTGTGAATGGGAAAAAAACAAGTAGGTACCGAACTTCTCCACCTGGGGGGTGGGTGGAAATGGGTAGCACAAAAGCACACGGGGAACTGGATTAAAACAAACACGCATCTCATCTGCCTGCTGCCAGACCACAGCCAGAACAGTTCTGGATGGTAACTTTGCTCAGCTTTCTTCTGTCCTGTGGAAAGAGTAGTTTGAATCTGGCCACATTAAGTAAAGTTAGGGTTGCTCGCTTCACGCTATTTGTAGAAAGTGCTGGGTTTCTCATTTTTGATTAGTGGGCTGTTTGAATTCTAGTTAGATGTCGGTGCAAAAAGTTTTAAAAAATTAAATGACAAGGTTCTGCATTACACTATGCAGTAATAGACAAAAACAATTCAAACCAAGGCCTAAATAGGAATATAAATAAACCAGAGAATGGGAAAATGTAATGATATAACCTTTTCCTAATCTTTGCTTTTTCCCAGTAAAAGCTACAGTATCCCAGGAACCCAGGATGCAGAGTAGGAGTACAACGTTTCACAGGACACCAGTCCAATGCAGGCCTTACTCACACACATTGATGTTTGGATAGACTGGCTAGCCTAGCCAGCATGTCTTTGGTAGTTGGAAGGAAACTGTGCTTACCATGAAGTCATGTTGACGTGTCAAGTAGCACCTTAATTAAACAAATGGAATGATCAAGAATGCAAACTGTTTTTAGTATGATTAAGTGTCAGCACTATGTAAATCATTCCCAAGTATTTCAGATTCATTCCTGGTTCGTGGACATGAAAAGGCGCGAGGGATTAAAGTTGTCTTAAAACTGATTTTGATGTTTTTTTTAATAAACCACAGGTCTCCAGTACGAAGAAGATGCACGAATTACACCTTTAATGTCTGCTTCCCACATTTGGAATGTAATAGAACAAGAGATTGAGCAAAAGACACTATATGAAGATATCAAAAGGTTACTGTTTGTTCAGGTGAGTATTCCTTTTAAGTTTTTACTTCAATAGCAACTGATTGATCGGAACTAGTGTCATTAAAATATTGATTTCATATTTGGTCTTTTTAACATGAATCGCAAGGGGAATTCATTTGTCTTTGTGCTAGCTTTCTAAAGAATGTAGCTAATATTTATCACTCAATTGTTCTGTATAACATTATGGAGGTTGTATATATCTTCACCACTTATAATATGTTTGTTCTCTATTTACTTTGCACATAGCCTATATTATTTCCAGGGCTGCTGTCTGCATCTGCACAAAATGAACAATGAGCTGTATCCTACATAATTGAGCATCGTCTGTCAAAGAACAAAAAGCAAAGAAAGTTGCAGGAATCCTAATATTAGCTAATCTTACAGTACGAATGCATTACCATTATTACAGGAAATGGATTAATGACTAATTTGTGGTTTCTTTCTTAGTCTGTAGCAGTTTGTTTGCAAAGTGGACAACATCAAAAGGCATCATGGGTTCTTGAGAGGCTGACAGAAACCACTGAAGTGCCGCAGGTAGGGGGTTTGTGTAGGGTACTTTCTGGATAGTACTTGGTAATATTGGAAATTGCATTTAAATTATAGAATAGGTTCAAGCCCTATGCTGTTAATAGTATTTATTTGTTGAGTAGCCGAAACCTAAGGATTCAAGGGACTGTAAGTGGGGAAAAAAGGATGAATCCAATTTAAGAAATGCTTTAGCAATAGTTGATTTTTTTACTTTACTGTAGAACAAGAATTCTTCTTTACTGTGAAATCATTCTAATGTATTCTGGAGATCCCGTTGTGTGTGTGAAAGTTCTCTTAAATTAGAAATTGTACAAACTACATTTACTTGGATATCATCAGCTCCCACGCTCCCACTTACAGACACTTACTTGGCGTTGAGCATAGCCAGTGCAGATAAATATTACACAGAAACAGGCTGCCCTCTTTTGTACTTGAACTCCTACACTTTTTATGTAAAAAATCTTTCTCAACACTTGTAGAAAATAAAAACAAGACTAAGCTGCTTAGCAGTGCAGTTTTACAGTTCTAAGCTAAGTCTTACAATGACAAAAAAGAAATCTGTAGTAAAATGTTTGAAGACAATTTTGGTGTTTTTGCCACACACTTACACATGTACATATTTTTTCAGATGTTATTATGACATTTCAGTACTATGAAGCATGAGAATTGTTATTTCAAATAACCAAAGCCAACTTTGAAATTATGAAGAAGTGATACAAAGAAAGGTTTCAAAACCTCTGCCTGATGCAGAGTGTTTGTTCCATATTGAGTGCTTGCATCACATTCCACTAGTCAGTCTGGGTGACACCCAGCACAGAGCCTGCGGTCTGGCAGGAGAGAAGTGTGTGATACAGTTCACCGGGTCTTGCTTAGTGTGTTGTTTGCTATTGTGTGCACTCTTACATCTTGTGTAAGAAATGTGTGGTTTAGACTTCATCATGGACCCTAAAGGTGTTAAGAAAATGAAAACTGTAAGTGTGTGTGTTATATCACAAAAAGCAAATGAAGTGGTTACTGTACTTGGGTATGATTAATGATGCCTAACTAGGTAAGCTATTATTATTAACAGTATAAATGTTTTTCTTTTGTCATTTTTTAGTGAAGAAAGTAAAAGTAGGGGGGACATTTTTGGGTTCCGGAACAGATTGTAATTTTTCCCCATAAGAAATAATGGAAGTAGGTTTTTCTTTTCACTAATTTTCGCTATTCTAAAGGGTTTCTGAGAGCACTTTACGTTCTTAAAAGAGGTATGGGTGTATTTGCTTTTATCTACGAACAGTATTGTCACATTTAAATCTTAACCTATGCATAAGCTTCTTCTCAGTTATTGGTCCCTCAGCCTCAACTGTGCAATGGTGAACATGCATTGTAATAAAGGTTAGAGTAACAAATACCACGTTATCAAATACATTGATCTAATCTAATAATTTAAGGACCTGACCTAATAATTTGAGGTCATGTTAAATGTTTGTCTCCTTCAAGATACATTATAATTACCCAATAGTTGGTTCTTCTTTTCATCCCTTTAATGGGAGCAATGTCTTTAGGTTTCCAGCGGATCATCTTACTGTAGTTGGTGCTTATAATTTCACAGTGCCTTATACGTTATTGATAATGCCTTTAAAACTGAAACCAGCAGATATTTTTGAACTACCCAGTCGTATTGTTGAAGCTGATATCCTGATTTCTTTCAAGACGGGCCTAGGGGAGGTTCTTGGATCAATTTTTATTAGCACCCATATCACAGCAGGTGGGTCGAATAGCCTCCTCGATTTTAATCTTTCTGTTATTTAATACCCACATCAAGTGTTCAGTCTGCTACTGCAGTTTACTGTTGATGCCAAGCTGGCCTTGCTGAACCTGTCCTAGCAGTACTTGAACTGGTGAATACCACAGACACCCAGGCACAGTGTGCCTGATCCTCATCCGCAAACAAGACTACTTCATTATTATTTAGATGTATAAGTCTGTTTAATAAATAGATAGACCTGAAGGGATGTTAAATCATCTTTCAATGAGTTTATAAATTAAGGGAAACAGACATTTTTAAAAAATAATTCAGTTTGTCTGATTGACGTGAATATTTAACACTCATAAATGAAGAGGCATGAAGTCTCAAGGGTCCTGATGAATATACTGTACTAAGATGGTTTCAGACTCAAGATCTATATGATTTTTTTATACATTTGTTTCCTTCTACAGAACCTAAGAATGAAACTTTCCATGATTGTGAACAAGAAGGATGCATATCATCAATTTCTCTTGAACTTCAGTTTTGACGTTTTGTTGGAGAAAATCAAGATATTACTTGATTCCTTTCAAAAAGACTATCTGTCTGATTTCCTACTAAAGGTATGTTACACCACTTTTGTTCCCTGAGGAGTTCAAATTGGTACAGATCAAATGCAAAATATTTCCATATTTTCTAATTCAGTCGTGTTTAAATAACCATCATATCAAAATTGTTTGCATAACCAGGCAATTTGTGATGATGGTGTAGAACTAATGAAAGACAAGTAATTAACATGAGACACAAGTAAAGAATGAAAGACGAGTAATCAAATTTCAGGGCAACAGTGGCAAAAAGAGAAATGTACCTCATTCAGATATTTTTTACATCCACTTTGGCAGGCTACCTCAACACAAACGCTGGTATCAGTATCGGCTTCAGTGGGCTAATGTGCCCTTTTCTGGTTAATCAAGAATTTGTGTCAGGGAATCAGTGGCATAAACAAGACATAAATTATTAGTTTTCATTAAGTAGAAAGTGGAAATATTTTTTTAGATACTTTTTGTAAGAATTAGAATTTAGGAGTCCTGTATGAAGTGAGCATTAAAATGCAGTTCTTGCAGCTGCTGTAGTATTCTGCATTGTTTATGGAATGTTTGGACAAGCTCTGTAGATTTGAATGTGTGCTTCGTCTGAAGGCAGCATCAAAGGTTGTAGAGGCCAGCAAGGAAAAAGGAGTGGAAGAGGAAACGACTGAAATTCAGGAGTCTGGAACAGCAGCCCCAAATGAGGCACAATTGCAAAGGTATAGCTTACTCTAAAGAGATATGCAGCAGGTTCTTATTGAGGTTACCTTTAATGTTTATGCTGCTTCATTATACCACACAGATTGATGTACTTGAATGTGGAATAAAGTGATTATTGTTGGCAAAATAAACTTTAGGTCATCAGAAAATGCACTTGGTGAAATATGAACTTTTTTCAAACGGTCTTTGATGGCTCTCCCAACTTTCACGCTAACCTGCCATTTGTTCCTCAAATGTGATTTACTACTTCTTGGAGAGACACTTAACATTTCATTTCATAACAAATAGTTACTCTTAGTGAAGATGGAAGGCACTTAAATGTGCTGTCTGGATCGAGATTTTGAGTAAAATTGTAAAAAGTATAATAAGCCAGTTTTTTTAAAGATTATGTTTAAATTCACATATACTCTTAATATTGAATCTAATTTTTTATTATAACCTTGCTATAATAAGGCGCAAAGTGGTATAAACCTCTTTTTACTGCATTTGAGATGCATAATCCCTTAAATGGAAGATTTTAAATATATATTGCATTGTTTAAATGCAGGTGAAATATGTTAATTTGTTCTTCAGTGATGGACCTTTCCAACAAGAAGGGGTTGACGCTGGGCCAAAAATCACAGATGTAAACTAGTAAGGGAGAAATATTTTTGAAAACTTTTTGAATGCATGTAATGTTTGTAGAACAAGAGCCATCTAGAAATCCATCATCATGGCCACTTGAATCCCTTTATGAGCATGTCTTACTTCCACTAGCAATAAGGCCAGTAGGCCAAATTAATAGCTGCTTGGAAGCTGGCTGTGCAAAGTTGTCGAAAATGTTGGAAAAATGTTCAAATTATTACATAAGTCTAGATCTCTTATTTAATATTTTTCATTTTGATAGCTTTTCTTCTTATGTAGAATATTTGTTAATTTTCTTAGCAGTAATGGAAATGTGTTCAGCTTGACACCCTCTGCTTCTTTGTTGGCAAAAAAGACATTCAGGTATGTATTCCTTTGATTTCTGTCCTGTTATTTTGATGGCCTTTTGATGAATAAAACATTCTCTGGAAACCAAGTGTTAGTTTCTTTTAAAACACTCAAACACTCAATCAATTTGTGACACTGCAGGAGTGTATTTTAAGAAATAAGCAGGATCATCTGGAAAATAAGAATTGTGCCCCCCCAGAGCTTTTAAGCAAAATCATTTTTGTAAGCATTAAATTCCCTCTTCCATCATCTTCAAATAGTTTTATAGACCATAAGCTTTGATCTGTCGGAGGCTAATGCTTTAGACATTGAAATATTCAAATATGGATGATGATGTTTGTGAAGATAACCTCAGGCATTTTGTAATAAACATAACAGGTTCATCAAATCAAGCTAAAGTTTGTATCTTTTTAATATCAGCATGTTTTCTTAAAGACTGATCTTAAAAGTGGGTGCCTAGTCACCGCTAACACTACATTAGAATTGCCTGTTTCACTCTGGTCCAGACTCAATCACGCCTCTGACTCACTTAGCAGTCACAAACCCTTTATTAGATGTCTAGTCCAGTAGGTGATGCACCCCCATTCTCCAGCACGGGCTTTATCGTTTTTGACTTGTAGGTGAGTCTAAATTTGGTTTTAATTGAAGGTCTGGATTCTCATTGACTAGTAGTGCCTTTCTTTTTGTTTGTTTTTCTTATAAGAAAGGTTGCAAACAAGAAGATGCCATTTGGTCAATCTTGGTGTTTTGGGTGCTTGTCAGTATGTTCCTTTTGGAATTCCATCAATCATATCAACAGTAGTTGGACCTGTAGACTTATTTTGATAGGTGTACAGTACATCCTTTGTCCCCATTGCCTGCATTTTGGCTTAACTTACACTACATTTACACACTGTTATTTAAACACTGGATTTAATTGAATGCAGTTTCATGATTGGTTTCTTAAATGCCGTTTGTCATTTATTTTAGTAAGTTCAAACCACATGAAGTGACGTTTTTAAATTGTGAAACTGTGATATAATAAATGTAATTAAAATAATGTCAGATTTTTTTCCTTCCACATGGACTAAAGGCTAAAGAATGCTTTCATATGTACCCATGATAATGCACATTGTCAGGTAGCTTGTGGGGATCAACATAATGTTTAAGCGTCTTTATTTTTCTATAGAATCTTTTTTCTAGATGACCTAATGGGCTGTACAATTTATAGACCTCAGGCTTATTTCATACAATCATTCCACATTTTTTTCTCCCACGAAGTTGGTATTAAGCCAGTGGAAAGAGCAGACATTAACTCGTGGGTGTCTATATAAATTCAAGGAAATACTGTAACCGTTTTCATCAGATTCTTTGTGACTGCAATAATTTACGTTTTAGTACAGTGTTGTCTCCAAGATACTGTAGATTTCAAGTGTGAACTATTTTCTTTTACTTTATCGTCCCAAATGGGACGTTTGCTTTGTAGGCATGTGAAAGACATAACACATACACAATTAATTTAACACAACGTGCACCCATTAACAAATAAGACACATAGTATATGATGAGAAACAATAAGTTTATGTAAATATAATATACAGTCAATTGTCCAAAATGAGCAGGTTTATTGCTAGGGGAATAAAAGCTGACCTACTTCTATTGCTGTTGAACCTAGGCAGTCCAAATCAGTGGCTAAATGGAGGGAGGTTAAAGGGGTGGTCACGACAGACAATAATTACACTGACCTTCTGCACTGTTTGCTTAACATACAGTGCCTATAGAAAGTCTACACCCCCCTTGGTCTTATCTCTGGGGGGGTTGAATACTTATGCATTCAATTATTTTCTGTTTTTTAGTTTTAATTAATTGAGTAAAATGTCTGGATTTTTTTTTTTTAATGTGACATTATAGAGTATTTTGTGTTGGTGAATGGCAACAATTCTCAGTTAAATACATCATGGTTCCATGCTGTAACACAATAAAATGTGAAAAGGTCTAAGGGGGGTGTAGACTTGGTATAGGCGCTGTAGTTGTCGTGCACTGCTAATTTTGCTGTCTGCCTTCACAATCCTGCTCAGTCTGTTTTATTACGTCCGTTGAGATTACCAAATCAGGCTAACACAGAAAATGTGAGGACAGATTTCAATGAAGGTTCTGTAGAGTGAAATTCATTGTTGTAGTATGCGTGTTAAAAGAACAGAGTTTATCACTATTGGCTCTTCTTGCATATGGCATTCGAGTTTTCCTCAAAAGTAAGTTTATAATCAACAGCTGTGCCACGATATTTGTAAAAATAAAGATTTTTAAAAGATAAAGATATTTAGCTTTAGCATGTTTGAAGTTGCATGTGTCATCATGTATGGCTGACATACTCATCTTAACCCTTATTAGTCTTTTAGATTTTAATTTCCTGATTTATTCCAGCTTTCATAGAGTCCAACATGAAGCAACATTTTGCATCTTGAAGTCAGCAGCAACTGCAGCAGCAAGCAAAGCAATTTCAGAACTGTACATGTAGAACTATTTAGTCTTTTTGAGCCACTAGGTGGCAGGTTTTTCCACTAGGTGGCAGGTAAAAGGCGTTGCTGTACAGTTGATGAGAATATTAAGTGGTTTTAATTTAGCAGTTTTTGAAAATTAAATGCCAGTCTGAATGTTTCAAATGAATGTTTAAAAATTAAACATTCATTGATAGTAGAAGTGTAGCACTGTTACCTTCAATTTCAAGGTGAACTATTTTATTTTATCAGATGTTAAATGCAGTACATTTGTATTTAGAATGTGTGAAAATCCATTTTAATCATACCAGGTTATATTTTGTAACTTTCCAATAACAGTGGGATATATTACTAAACAGATTTTTTAAAAACAACTTGTATGTGCTTTCTTTTGCCATCTTCCTATAATTAGTTCTCTAGTAAGACACTCTTAATGAAATACTTTAAATACAAGTTTTGAAGACATAATTTTAAAGATTTTGTATCTTTCTGAATGACAAACCTCTACACACACCTTAAACAAAGTCAGTTTACACCTTCCATGCTATTACTTGTGATCTGAATCAATGAAACAGCATGGTTTCCTTTAGTGTTTTCTTGGTCTTCATGTTCCCAAGCCTGCACTTTTCTGTAGAACATATAATTTCTGCAACACTGCTTACTCAAGTCTTTTCTCAGCAGGTAGCTTTATAGTCTCTGCCGCAACTCTGTCTGAAGAAGTCCTCCCCATAATTTGAACAAATGACGTTGAGCACAGGAGTTGAAATTGCAATTTCACTGAAAGCAAAGTTTCAAATTGCTTAAGTGAATCACTTTAAAATTGAAAAGGTCTTAGAAAAAGGCCAGTGGACCGTGTAAACACGCTATTAACAATTACTTTGATCAAATGTCACCTCTGCTTTGGTTAGGTCTGTATGTTGTACAATAGCTTTGATGGCAGTTATTTTGATTTTTTTACAGGCCCAGAAGGAAACTCTTTTCTGTGCAAAACATCGAACATTGGAAGCCGAAAAGTTCCAGAAAATCTTTTCTCGTCTGTCGGAGAAATTACAGCATCAGAGGCTAGTATTGTCATGTTTACATTTAACTGAAGATGCTGAAGGCCTTCTGTGAAGTGCAGTAGTTCACAGCCCTGGTTCTCTTTTCTCTACTAGGTTTGTGGCAGCCAAAGTCTTAATCCCAGAAAGATATATTTTGATTTTATATTATAGGTGTTTTTTTTAGTTTTCTTTCAAATATTAAAGAGCGATATGGTGTTTGTCTTTAAAGGGGAACTGCAACACTATTTTTATATTTTGGAGTAAATAGAACTGGCATTAATGAGTGTATTTCGAAACTACAATGAAAATAAAATGTACACAGTCACAAATATTTTAATCCAATAGAAATATCGCTCTCGACTTCGAGACGTGTCTGTTGCACAACCTGTACTTATTTGCTCAAGTATCACATTACATTGGTCATTACAGTGAACAGTGAGCAGGAAGGGCCACCTCATGTCACAGTTCTCCTGCACTCTCGCCCATGGCGAGACCAGTGGTTTGCAATAAAATGGAAACCATACAGTACTTTCACAAAGGCCACGATTTTGTGCTTAATTTGGAATTTGTAAATTTTGCCATACCATCAATTTATTTTATCTGAGCAATTGGGACTGTAGTTCCCCATTAATATCAACTATATTCCAATTCTTGATTTTCAAGACTGCCCTCATTAAGGTGCCATTTTAAAAGTAAATACCTGGATGTTAGGAAAAGGAAAACACTATCATTGTGTGCCTGATAGTGTTATTACTGCCTTTGTCTGTTCATCGTGAATTTATAATCTGTTAAGAGGATTTCAGTGCAACGTAATGGAGCAAATTCTTAATTAAAATGTCAAGGGGAAACTACATAAAGTCTTTATTCCATTGTTCTTGATAGTATACTTTATAATATACTTTAACTGGGTAGTTTTGGATATCAAAAGCTTTGTGTTACACACACCCTGCTTTCTTTAAACGCAGTTTACTCTGCGGTACACTGCCCCCTGCCTCGTTCAGATGCCAGGAGGTGCGGGGCGCGTGTCAAGATCTCTGGGGCCTAGGCTCACAGGCTCTCAGACCGAGTCTCTGTCCTGAATCATCTTCTCCAAGACCATTACAAGGTCCCTCACATCACGGAGCCTTTCGCTCGTGGATTCCAGGGCTCGACGAGCTTCACCCACATGCTCATCCCTTTCGAGGAGTAGTGGGAGGCCCTCGACCCGGTTCAAAAAGGGCGCTGCCTCTAAAAGATATAACTCAGGACAGCATTACATCATAAGGTCTCTTTTTTTCACGGAAGACAGTGGAATTAACTGATTTTTCCAGTGTGTTTTTGAAGGATCCCAAAACACTTATTAAATCAGTGAACAATGCATCTTCCTTGCAAATCTGTATTGAATTATACAGACTAATTTTATTGTTTTATTTTTTGTCTTGTCACAGGAACACGGTTATCCTTTGATTTTACAAAAAGGAAAACCTCAGAATTAAAAAAGAAAAGAGTAAAGAGGGTAAGTTTTTGTCATTCTTTGTTTTTTACATTTTGTCCCATTTTTTGCCTCAAACGTTTTAATTCAGATGTTACATGATATTTTTAGGTCATCAGTAAGTTGGTAGAATATAGGGGTGCCCTAGTACTCTCTTTATAACTGTGGTGATTCTTTAGCAACACCAGCAAGTTGTTTATACTGTATGGAATGAATATTAACTTAGAGAAAAGTTTTTTCTAGTCAAATCTATTGTGACTTGGAAAAAGTTCAATGGGATTGATTCCGCATGTCAAGAAAAAGTACCGTCTGTTTAATGTTAAAAGCTAATAGCACAAGAATTTCCAGCTTAATTTAAAGGGAACATGCCAATGGTAGTAATGCTATGGATTCGAGGTATTGAAGTAAAGTAATTAGCCTGCAAAGTTTCTATGGAATGACTTACTTGGGTCCTCCATAAAACAAACATTAACATATCATTCAGTGTGGATTTGGCCTTAGAATAGAAATGGTCTTAGAGCCAGAGAGAATTTCTCATTTTTTAGTGATACTGTTATTGCAATGAAATGTAATGCAGTGCAGAAGGAATGTTACAGTAGGTTACAAATAAGAGGAGGTCTTTTGGCAAATCTAGCCTGTTTGGTAGTTAGTAGTTAATTGAACCAAGAATTTAATCCAGCCATTTCTTGAAAGATGCCAGAGTATCACCTTCAACAACGTGGCTGGGCAACTATTTTCCTTATTCCCTCAACCCTTTGTGTAGGGAAGCACCTCGTGTTATCATTTTCTGAATGCATTCCTTGTGTGATCTGGTTCTCGTTTCACTGTGGTTGACTTTAAATTGTGAATATATTTCATTTTTTTTCTTCCCTAAAGCACTGGACCTTTGAGGAAAACCAGGCGCTAAAAGCAGGGGTGAGACGTTATGGAGAAGGAAATTGGGCTAAAATACTGAAGCATTTCGAGTTTAATAATCGTACTGGTGTCATGTTAAAGGACAGGTGGAGAACCATGAAGAAATTGTATCTGGTCTCTGAAAACAATTCTTCTGAAGACTGACAGAGCTGTGAAAGCATTGTACAGGGCTTGCATAAAAAGCATTGTAATATATTACCTAGTATAAGGATTAAGATCCTCTTGTAAATAGTCGTTTAAATTGATTAAATAAATTTTTGACAATGTAAGTGTTGTTAGTGCTCTGTTTTGTGTGATTTCTGCCTTTCCTTTATAATAGGCTGCACTGTTCTTTTTTGCATGAGATCTGCAGACCAGACCAATCCTCACAGCCTTCACTGGGGAATGGATTTCCTTAAATGTTTTTGCAGTGATAGCTTGTGGATAACTCCTGCATGCAAAGGGGAGTTCATGTCTGGTAACTGGCCAGTCCGTGGGAGAGTCATGATCCTGAAGCGCTTTTTGCCTCACTGCAAAAACGTAACCATCTTTCAAAACATACTGTGCACTTTGTCCAACCTGGCGAGTAATATATATACTGACTGGTAATTGATACAGTGTATTTATGAGATAGGCAGACATACTCTGACACAAGATTCAGAGGATCCGCTACAGCAGGGGGAACTTGTGGAGAAGCAACTGCGTTAGCCGCAATATGAATGGTGAGAAATGAGTATCAGTCCCCATTCAGTTATTTATCACACAAAAACTTCTATGTCCATGTGGACAAGGGTTCTGAAGCTCTCTTTTAAAATATATATGTATAACTAAATTGTTCTGTTTCTCATGTTATAGTGAGCCAGCAAGATACTACCTTATTTTTGTATAAGTTGTACACATCTTCATCCATAAGTTTAAAGTTGCTGTTTGTCATTATATTGCAGGAAACTATACTGACTTTTGTAACAGGAGAACACAAAGTCTGTTCCTGAAACCGTTCTCTGGTACCAAGTATTCAGGTGCTAAAAAGTAATAAATACACAATGAAAATTTGGAAACAAAGAAACAATTTTGGCCTACAACAGGACGGGCAAAACTCTGACTGATGTTCTCCTGTTTTCCCCCCTCTCTCTCTCTTGCCATCTCCCTTTCAACAAAGGTGCATTTTGTGGATAAACACTGGAATGCTCTCATACAGAGGGTCACCCTAGTGATGCCCATCCTGGATGTCAAAGAGTTATGAATATGGAGATGTACATCATCAAAGTACCAGTAACCCCCCAGGATCAGATGAGCCCTGTAATGTCTGCTGGTTTAATGGGAAAGAACAGGCTCCTTGAGCTTTTGACAGAGTAGCAGCCCTATTTGATGGCAGAACTGCAAGCTCTGTAAAACCATCTCCATTCTCAGAGGTCTTTTGTTAACCCCCTTTCACAGAGCCATAGTCCAGGGATGACGACATCTGTTTAACAACCTCTTATGTCAGTTTCAGCCATGTATTTTTAATGATCAAAAAGCACAATAACTGAAATAATGCCCAAGTTTTACTTCTTGATTGTCCTGGATGTTCCTAAAAAAATATTTTTTAGACATACTGTATACTTTTTTTTTTACGACAGTTAAAGACTTTCATAGGCTGAACCTTGTGTTTTTTTACAGAAGTCTATTTTTGTACGGGGGGATGAACTCAGTCTACATGAATGTCAGACATCGATTGTTTACAATTTTTATGACTTTATGGAGTTAAATGTACTTATCTGGTGGCTGTACAGACCATGAATATAGATAAACTGACATTCTGTAGTACCTGCCACCTTGTAGCCTGAGCCCTTCAGATTTAAGCAAGGCTGGCCATGATCAGTGCTGGGGATTGGAAACAAGGAAGGTGGTGGTGGACCAGCAGGTGGTGCTCTTTACTCTGCACCAGAAATTCCAGCAAGTTCCTGCTCTGCTCCTTTCAAAATTCATGCAGTACTGATACAGGCAGAATCAAATAATCCTTTTTTTAAAAACTCACCCAGTGAGGTTGCCAAATTTGATAAAGATTTGATTAGGAAGAAGTGATTTTAACAAGTAATGGTTCAAAATAAAAGATATCTGAACCTGCCCGGGAGGCCTGGAATGCTGAATAACCTAAAAACCTCATTCATCAGTCCAAACTCTTTCCATTAGCTCATTATGGCCAACATTGTTTCTTTACCTGGAGTCAGATTTTGGAAGTAGCTGCTGAAGCAGACCAATAAGGCTTGTGTGCTGTTGTATTTATGTTTGTGTATTTCACATGTGCCAGGTTTCTGTTCAGCATTTTCAAAACTACAATGTACAGTACACTTGAAGTTCAGTTCTTATACTGAGGTTAAATTAGTGAGAGGTGTATTTATGGCTTTTGTTGTTTTATTGAAGAAACAGTTTACATGTAAAATATGCATACAACGCTCAACTTTTTTCTTCCATTTTTTCTTTTAGTTTACAATTACACTTTTTAGGACTATTTACATTGTTCCAGCAGAGAAGGGAATTTAAATACAGAAATATACAGTATTTACTCTCTCAGTTCTAAATTATTTTTTAGTTATTACAGAAAAACAACAACAAAAAGGGTCTAGAAATCTTAGTTCATTTTACTTCAGAAAGTGAAATCAGGTTTTACTGGGGACATTTTTTTCCAGGTTACCCAGTATTTGCTTAATTTTTCTGCCTTAAGTTAAGAGAAAATGTTAGCCATTCCATTGTGTAAATCTCATTCACATGATCATTCTGTTCAGATGCTGGAGGTCTTTAATAAGCCATTTTTTGTGATTGCTTTTACTAGCAGCTAGAAGAATTATTAGTATATATTTGTGCTTAGGTTCTGTTTGATAAAAAACAAAACGTCTCAGATACACAGCTGAGAATTCAAAAGGTATAACTAGGTTTATTATCTTATTAGGGTCTATGTGTATGAATTGCCAATAACACTGTTTGTGGGCAGGTCCAGAATATATGTAAAAGAGTCTACCTGCTCTCCACATAACCTCCAGCATTGTGAAGTTGTTCTCTTTTGTTTTTACTTGTACAGGTCTGGACAAAATAATGGAAACCCCAAGCAATATATGAATTTGTATTAACGAAATAAGGAGCTGGGCCATCCTTTGCCTTCAGAACAGCTTCAGTCTTTCTTGGAATACTGTTGTAAGCACTTAAAGGCAGCCCTACTCATGATGTACAGTTTTTGTTGAGACTGGCTCACAGAAATGTAGATTCAATTCCTGTGGTAATTTTTGAAGCCGATGCTTTGTGATTTGTAGGAACTATCCATCTATCCCTGTTGGTGAGATTGGACTTGCAACCACTGTTCTTCTTTCCTGAGGCTGTTTACCCTTGTTTGGTGTAAAAATACACCACACACTGATCCCCTTGACACATTCAATAATGTTGCAGTTTCTGGCACACCTGCCATTAATTTGTTATCAAATCCAAATTCTCTCAGGTGTTTGATATAAATATTCCCAACTGATCCCATCCATAGCTTTTCCTGCTTCTAAACTATTCAGAATGGCCTCTATCTTTTCATTATAAATGGGCTTCACAATATTTAAACTGCATCTAACAATGTATTGTGTTGGACTGTTCTAAATAAAAAAGGCTTAATCTACTTTTCTACATTTATAAATAAGGTAAAATTTTCTCCACTATTTTTGGTATTGATTGAAGCATTCAAATGGAAATTGCGTTAAAAGACCCACATCTACTCTGCTATTCCCTTCCTCTGGTTTAATTTAGGAGGAGGCAGACCTCCTCCTTTCTCTATCCTGTAACAAGAGGGCAAACGACGAGGAGCTAATTGTTCTCTGTATATCATGTGGAAAGCATCAGCCCCTGGCGATTTGTGATGTTTAAGATTAGAGATAGTATTATACATTTCCTCACTGTTTAATACTGCAGTTAATATAGTGTTTATAGCTTTGTTTTTGGCATTCAGAACAAGAAAGTTTAAAGTCTCTAGTAGTCGCTGTTTAATTTGAATTCTAGTTTGTTCGTATTCTACATGTTTTTGTAGTATTCAACAAAGGTTGTTTGTATTTCCTTTAGCTTGTAATGCAGTTGCCGTGTACCCAAATCAATAATTTTATGGATTGTGGATTTGACTTGTTGTTTTTTACGTCATCTTCTTGCTAATATTTTCATTGATTCGTAGTCATTTTGTTTTAGAAACCTTAATTTTGTTTCTAGACAGGTTGCAGGTTATGTATTTCTGGTCTAGTTTTCATTAATTTCTTGGATATCTTCTGAGTAGGCGTTTTCTTCTTATCTTGTTGTATATATTTTAAGTCGGATTATAGTTCTTCAATCTGGCCTGTCTTACTTTTTTCTTATTTGAGCAATTAGAGATAAGTTTCCCCTCTAAGTACTGCTTTGGCTGTATTCCATATTATTGCTGTTATATTGTCCTCAAGAACAGTTCAAAACCCTGTTTAATGTCCTCTTTGATATTATTCAAACACCACAGTTCATCTTCCATAAATGGTTCTGTTTCCACAAGTTTAAATCTAGTATTAATCTAACTGGTGCATGGTGAGACAGGACAGGTGTTCCAATTACACCTTCCTTTACTCTGGTTCTGTCTGTTCTGTTGGTAAGAAAGTAATCTAATCTGCTATGAAAGTAATGAGGGCACAGAAATGTGTACAGCCCCCTCCTGTAGGATGAAGGTCTCTCCACACATCTAATATACCCCAGGTCCTCAGTAGATCTACTTACATATTTTTATGGCTGCCTTTGTGATCTGTTCAGATAAACACAAAGCTGTGTACCACTGGGCATGAGCAGTGCTCCACCTTCTGAATCTTCCTCCATGTTCCTCTGCACCTGGGATTACCCACTGCCTGCCACTGAAGGATTCGGTTTCTGCAACAAGAAGATGGAAACTCCCATTAGAACTTCCTCAGACCCCTGTAAGGGATATGTCCTTTCCCCTGTGGGAAACGGCCTGCCCTGTTTTAGTAAGAGTACTTTTCCAGCTGACTGGTTGGAGAATTGCACTCCCTAGTGGACGTGGAAACAGAAGCATCATTATGGGCTGTTACAAGAGCTCTGACAGGGCCTCCAACATAAGTATGGAGAATCGGGATAATCTGGTTTGTTTTACAAAAGACTAGGACCCGAAGGAAATCGACTCCTAGTGGTGTATTCGAGTTTATTTAGAGTTCTCAACATTTAAAACCACTTTATCCCCATTGGGAGAGATGTTGGCTTTGCTTGCACACTAGTTCCATTATTTTATGCATGTTTACAGCTTGTAAATTCATACTGTACTGTACATTAGGGGACTGACCCTTTTTGTATTACAAATGCGGATGTTTGTAAATCTCCCCTCAAACTTGTTTTTGCTGCCCTTCAATTTCATTCTCTTAATTTCCCATTTATACACAATTCTATTATTATTCTCTTTCTTTCTATTTACTGTATTTTTATGTGTATTTGTGCTACACTGTATAAGTATAACATTGATTATCAAAAATTATTGGTAGTAAAAGAGTTCAGTTAGAAAGGCTGGCTATTTCCGTTGATCTGTACTGTCATTTTATATGCTGGGTGTTTTGTGATTTGTTTCTCCCACAATCACGTCAACACTAATATGATGAACTCCAACTTAAAGTGCAGAAGCTTGTAAATTGTTCCGGGTTTAATTATATTACATTCTAAACAGTTAAAAACAAGTGTTTTGTTAACACAATTTATAACATTTTAATTGTTTTAACATCATCTCTTCTCTATATTTGACAATAAAAGCGTGTGAAAAAGTCCTGTAGAAAAGACAGATGAAATATTCGGGTTATCAATGAGCATCCTTCTGCGACAGGAAAGCGGTACTGAAAAACAAATTAACTTTGAAAGCTAATACAGGTGGAAGAGAGAAGGTTTGTGGAAGTTATTCATTTCCCACTTTCCCAGTTGCATACAGGAAAGCCGAGCAAGTACGTGAGTGTTGAGTCAAGACGATAACCTTTTCGCCTAATGCGTAGTTTTCCAGACCTACTGGACCTGCCGAGGCATTCCTGGAACCTTTGCCGTGTTGTTGGTGCCAAAAGACCTGCATTATTTACCCCTCGATGCCCGTGCCGTCCCCCTGACAGCTGTGGCCGGCGTCGCTCATCGCTGGCGGCTGGCACAGGACGCAGACCGTGTAGCCCTCCCTCAGATACTGCATCCACCGGGCGTGGGCGCGGCTCTCCAGGGCGCAGTGGTGCGAGAGCGACCCCATCTGGAATTCCATGCAGTACCTGACGGACAGACACCAAGCGCTTCAGACGCGCCGCCGCCTCCGGGCTCCGGTAGCGCGTCCCCGTGAAATTCAGTCTGACCACGACAACATTCCAGCTGCCGTAATGCGCATCAGATATGATCGTTTTTAGAGCCCATGTACACTGTGAGAATTGCAGCGTCACCTGTATGGATGCCTCACCTGCAGATGTGCTTGAAAACTGCCTCGGCGGTTCCACCACTGTTAGCTGTTGTACTGTTAGGCTGAAAATGTTCAGAGTTGTCAAAGATCTTTCTATATATTTAGTCAACCAACCCCCAGATCAGATACTGAGGTTTAAAGTCATGTTTGTATTGTTGGCAATTCCGGTAGGTACTATCCTTTGCAGCAGTCTGTGCCACCGATAAAAAAAGGGATCCCTCATTGTGACAAAGCATATTTCAGTCCGGAAACAGCTATGGACTTTATTTATGTGTACGTTTTAGCACTCCTCCTAATTTTAGTTAGGTATGGTTATAATCAGCTAAAAATGAATTCAGACATTTACGTCCTACATTAGGTGGTATAGTGAATATTAACACCAAAAATGGTTCAGACACTACAATTAATTTAATCTTCATTTACAACCTCATGGCTTCCTTAATGTATCTTTAAATACGCTTCTAAAATTAATGAGAACAGCATTCTCTACTTATACTTTTAAACAAAAATACTAATGGCAGAAACGAGAGGTGAATTTTATTATGAAATTATTTCCAGTACGACAACAAAAACAGGTTGAGAAACATGCTCCACTCCCTCAACTTTTTCAGACTCCTAAATCATAAAAATGTACAAAAAAATAAGCATATATAGACTCATTAATACTTCTCTAAAGTACATAAAGTACATACCCTTAAAGTGATTAAAATTGCTCCTTCAGATATTTTATTTGTGAAAACATCTCAGGTTCTTGATTTAAACAGAAATGGTTAAGGCTTCTGCAGAAAGTCGCTAAAAACTGTTATAATTTGCTTTTCATAATTATGTCGGTGAGGATGCCTCTGTGCTATTGGTACCTCGTACAGTGAAATACATACCCAGGGTCCTCCAGCTCTGCAGATAGGTCCCGTTTTCGTCTTCCTTTGCTGTACGCCAATGACGTTATGAAGGCAGCACCTACAGCAAAGACATTCCAAAAATGCATTGCGATTTCTGCTTGCCAGTGACAGATTGGAGACTGAATTGATCTGAATAATTTTTAGCATGGTGATTGCTACAAACAGCAGCAAGAAGAGTCATAATTTTATCGTGTCCCCAGCTCAGAGAAATGTCAGTAGGTGCCATCATCTGGGACCACAACAAAAACTTGCTTGGAGGATTGAGATCTGCATTCATGCTGAAGAAACGTGTTTATGTGGAATATACTTCTCCAGCATGCAACACCACAAAAGCTTCTGTCATTACAATACGATTCCAAATGACCTGTGATATAATAAGCAAATTAATTCCTTTAGTTTGCCAAAGCTGTGCAATGCTCTGTTGCACTCCAGGAAATATAATATCTTCTTGTTTAGAAAATGACTTTTAAGAGTCTTGTTTTTTAAGCACTGGACATGAACAGAGCAAATTCAATGATGAGTTAACTGTCGACGACCTGCTCCAGCAATGTAAAGCAGGCGTCTGGGCCTCAGGGAAGAGTGAGCTGGAGTGAAGGAGCTGCCCTTACCCTGGGCCTGTGCGCAGGTCTGGCCCCTGGAGCTCAGGTACTCGAGACACCCAGCCCTCTCCTCCAGCGGGGGGCAGGCCTGGCCGCCGTTCCTGGGCTCCTGCTCCACCCGCCGTCTGCGGACGCGGTATGCCGGCCGGCACTGCTGGACACAGCCGCTCCAGGGGCTCCACTCGCCGACCACACAGGGCCGGGCTGCAAGGGAAAGCGCCGGGTCGTCAAAGGACGCTCGTCGTTTCTTTACGATAAGAAAACGGTTCTTATTGTCCTACTCCTCAACGGGCCACCTTTCGTTGGTCTGATTCCGGTCTCCTGTCTGTTCCCCAGGCCCGTCTACACTCTGTGGCTGACAAGGCCTCCTCCTGCTCTGCCCCAGAGCTCTGGAGAACAGAGTCACCTTACCTGAGCTCTTCCAAATCCAGACTCAGAAGCTCTTTCTTTACAAGGGCTTATATTTAGCTGGTCCTCTGTCTGCCCCTTCGCTTTCCTACTGTACTGCTGTCTGCTCTCATTGGGCATCTTTGTTTCTTACTGTATAGGTGCTATAGAAAATAAAGTGCATTATTATTATTGTTGTTGTTGATATGAATAATAATATAGGCACTGAATTGTTGCTTCTTGCTTTACAGTGGTGGGGTGTTTTACATAAAATGTTAAATCTATCTATGTACAGTAATAATGTGCCTTCCATCTCAAAGGGCTTTCATAATAAGGGGACGCTACTTCATCTATCACTGAAGCATGGCAGAATCAAGCACCAGCTGCCCCACAACACAGCCCATTCGGTAGAGAAGTGAGTAATTCTTTCTTCATCTGAATTAAAGAGGAATTTAGGAAGCAGATTCGGGCCACGGGGGTTAACACCCACTACTCTCTTGCAACGAACCATGGGATCATATCATCTTCAACAGCACATTGTTCCTGGTCATCAAGTGGGATATTAGCTTGGAAATGATCTTTCAGAGGAAAAAATCTTATTTGCCAAAGGTGCACAGGGCGCTGCAGTTTTGGCAGAAATACCCGACAGTGAAGCTTAATGACGTCACTTGGCAATCATCAAAACCAAGTTGCCCTTGCAAGACAAATTGTAACCTGTGACCCTGAGCTAACATAGCCCTTATTCCCCTCTTGAAAATGGACTACTTATTTTCTTATATTTAAAAATATATATTTTTATTACACCAGTCAATAGTATACATCAGCCTTTCCTCCTTCAAAACTGGACTGCCAGCATAACTACTTTAATGTGTTGAGAGCATTTTGCAGCCGAGGTGTGTTCAGGGTCTCAAACCCAATCTTACGCAACAGCCTTAAACTGTTTGGGTAACTCTGAAACCCAGTGGTATCAAATGACTTTCCAGTTTCAGTTTTCTGGTTCAACAAAACCTGAATTACCATCTCTCACCACCAGAGAGGGGTAAGTCTCAAGTTACAAACTGCATATTATTTGTATGGCCAGGAGACTCTGAAGAATACAATAATAATACTGTAATCATCTGACTCTTTTTGCCTCATGTGTGCTCTTCTTAACAGATATTGAATGATTTTAATTAAAATGAATATGTGCATCGCTGATTTGTTATTATTAGCTAAACAGTAAGTAGACTTTCCAGGGCATACAGCACATTTATACAATGTTGACATGTCATCATTTTAAGAACATTGCAAAATAATGTCGCTGGTTTACCATTGTTGTTTTTCAAATATTGTGTACGTTTTATGAATACTATGAACAACAGTCTTATTTTTAGATCGGGATATCAGGTCATCATCCACAGATGAGAGGTCACTCAACTCATTTGTGTCTGTTCCCAGAAACAACCCCAAGGTGTAAAATCTATTCAATCCACTCAGACACCAGCCCCACGGAAAGTGACAAAATTTGAAATGCCAGTTCATCCTAACCTTATTTTAATTATTTATGTCTGACATTGTAACACTCTCTTCTAACACATGACATAACACATAGTACCTCTATTACTCTGGCAAGCACAATACATCTGTAACTGTCTAATATTCAACAAAGAGGGTCTTTCTGAGTTATTCGTTAAATTGCTACAGTACCAGTTCCAGAAGAAAGAGGTGTTTACTGAAAGTCCAGTGGGAAAGATTTTGCTTTTGCGTTATATGCTGAAGAAGGTCATCTTCATTTTTAATAAAAGGTAGAATCCAGTTCACTGCATTAACAACAAATGCCGCTTTTAAGATGCTCATTTTACCATGGATTTAATTTTCAATAAAATGTAATACATTTATAATATTCCAGCCATTTTCAAACTTTATCCAATTCAGGACTGCTGGGGAGCCAGAGCCTATCCCAGCAAGCATTGGGCACAAGGCAGGAAACAGCCAACACAGGAAACCACTCCATTGCAGGGCACACACAGACTCACACTAGGGCCAGTTTTCCCAGAAGCCAATAAACCTACCAGCATGTCTTGGTACCATGGGAGGAAACCCACGTGAACATGAAGAGACCATGCAAACTCCACACGGACAGCACCCCAGGAACTGAACCCAGGGACCCAGCATTGCAAGGCAGCAATGTAACCACTGCACCACCATGTAACCCTGTTGTAATATTATTAATATAATTATTGATATTATACCAAATAGCAGAAAATACCACAATACTATTTAATTCCTTACATTTATAAACTATTTAGATTTCCTACACCTTGGGAGGTTTGAAAGGTTAGCCACATGACTGGGTAACTACAACCTGACTGCTTATGGTTTGCTGAGTTTTCACTGTTTGAAGCTGGAATAAAACATGTGAATCACATTAGCTAGCATTTCTTTCAATTACCGTGTGCAAGCCAGTGGAATTGAATCACTTATAAGGTGGAGGGTGCACTCCAGTCCAAGTTTTTAACAGATAATGCTGTGATTGTTTCAATAGAGAAATGGCTCATGTCTCAAGTGAGAAATACGGGGATGTTTTTTTTGTCTGGTCTTTGCCTGTTGGTTTGTTCCCTCCAAGCCTCAACTTTTTGCTTATGTAAGCTTTATTTGAACACTGAGCTTGTTGTATACTCTCGTGTCATCCAGAATAGTATGATATTTGTTCTTTCTTTCCACAAAAGTAATATAGGAGCAATTTTGCCACCGCACATTTGTTAAACGAAAACTGTAGGGAGTATTTATGTATTATGTATTTATGTACAGGATAATTCAATTTAGCATTTGAAAAAAAAAAACATTTCAAATGTAGAAAATAAAACAAATGCATTATCTTTACAGGCAATCCCCAAAACTTTAAAATAACAGTGAACATAATAAGAAGTGTTCATATATAGAATGAAAAAGTGGGTTTATTGTGTCTTTTTATACACAACTCTGTACCCCTGAATACAATCAAAACACATGTTTTGCTTAAATACCTATGTAGCCCTTTTCTGAAGATTGGAAGAAATTCTGCTGTATGATAAAGCATGCAAAACTGTGGTAACTTCTTCTTGAACTACAGGATAGTAGTGCACAACCTGGGATTGTGTTGTATAATGCTGTATTCGATTTGAATGTTAGCAAGAAAGTGCAATTTTTATTCGATTCTTTATCTTCTTTCTGCCAAAAATCGAATGTTTTTAAATGTTGTATGTACATGCACCGATTACAAAGTTCCAGACTGTGAATTTAAGATTAAGTTTCCAACCCTTCCAGAAATGTGTTCACGTCTTGTGCCCTAACAGATCACTGCCATTAGAAAAGCAAGCACACAAGTTCCGATTGAGTGTAGCACAAAATCAAATCAACATCGCCATCAAGAATTCCACACGCGCGACTGGTTCTTGTTTTGCAGTTGAGTAAACGCGCAGTGAAGCTTCTCGGACTTCGAAACCGGTTTGAAAACATTTTTCTCACAGAGGTCAGTTTGTCTACGTTGTGATTAATGCAAATTAGCTCTTGTTTCAGTATGGGTTTCTAGATATCCACTCGCTGAGCCTTTCCTAATCCCTGGTGACCCCAGCCTTCTCCTCGGCTGAGGGAAGCTCGTACCTGGACACTCCGCGGTGTAGTCGAAACAGCAGTCTCTGGTCAGCTGGCAGCCCTCGTCACAAAAGCAGGTTCCGTACGTCCTGTCCACCCTCCAGTCTGAGGTCCTGCACGTCAGGTCTTTGTCCTGGCAGCACTTCTGAGAGCATCCTCCTTCAGCCAGGTGGAGTCTCCCCAGAAGAGCAGTCAGCAGCAGAAGACCAACACCTTTAGCTAGCGATCTCCTCATCACGAGTTGAGCCGAGAACAGACCACGGGACGACCCCCTGTGTGTGGTTCACCGGTATCGAAAGCCTGCTGTGGGTCAACCGAATCCTTCGACTTGAACTCAAGTTTGAATGCAACCCGCCCTCGTTTTGTTTATTCAGTTTTCAGCTGAATGCGCAGCACCCATCCTGTCAACTGTGAGGAGGCGGACTTGCAACGCAGGCCGACGCTATTCTTGAGTCGAATGCTTGCGACACGGAATACTTCTGCGACACAGGTCCTCTGTGTGCCCATGAAACAGGCTTACAGAGTCTTCCTCTCAAATAACAGACCCATTCTGCGCGAGTAAAAGCGCAGAACAGTAGCTTGGCTGTAGAGCTAACATTTTTCTGAAAGCAGTCACCCACAGCGTCTCTCTCTTTTTTTTTTAAACACTGGAGAATGCGCTGAGTAAGAATGAAAGTTGTTGGGTTTTTTTTTTTTTCGCTTGTCTTTCGGCTGTTCTGTCCTGGCGCAGCTCGGGAGTCGGATCGGATCAGACTGCTGTGCCCGGCTTCCTTTATACCAGCCTCTCGCAGAGCTGAGAGGAATGTGAGCATTTGGTTTGGCTCCAGATGAAAGCGCCCAGGGTACGTAGATCAGCCCTTCAGTTGTCTTCTCGTTTCAATGGTTAATGATCCCTAAAAACATGTATTACTGAGTTAAACAGTCACCTCCCCTCTCTCTACACAGGTAAACTTTATCCTGTGTGTGTATTCAACCATGGAATGAGTCAGCCCTGAAATGAGGCTTGTAGCTTCAGATACTTTGCTTCTGCATTATTTACGCTTCCAATTACTTAATAATCCAGGTGGAACTGACTTTTTTGTATTTTCGCTTTTTGGGGGGCATGAAAAACCAACAAAACATTATAAAACATGATATTTTATGTGCGCCAAGCAGAGATAGACCTTGTTGGTTAGAAGAAAAATGGTAATGCAATGCTCATTATATTGTAGAATTAGGAAATCTACAGAAAATCTCTACAGTTTACATCATGCACATGAGCCCATCATACTAATGTGCATGACTAGGGAGAACCAGACAGATTTCAATTAGGTCACCTGTATCACCATATCCATATCAATACAGATGTCAAGGAAGAGCCTGCTGGGTTTGTAAGCAGTAAAGAAACATCAAGGAATTTTAACAAGCTAGTATGCACTTAATCTCTAGTACCAATCGGGATGAGGAAAGGCATCTTTAATTAGGATAAGAAATGAAGCAAACAAGAACATTTCAAGTCTTTAGCTTACATGAACATTCAGAAACAGCAAACAAATATTATAAGATAATTTTGAAGTACTGTATAATATGAATCATATATATTTCGTTTTTCAACAATTGCCTTTTTCATTCATGGTCCAATCTGAGAATACAATTCATCTAATTCACCATTACTTTATTGACCTGCACAAAGCTTCGATATTCTCTACTGAAGCACTTTTCTCACCACTTCATCCTCTTCAGGGTTATGGGGAAGCCAGAGCCTATCCCGACAAGCAACAGGCGCAACGCCAGGTACACTCTGTGTCACGACCACCAGCCAGCAGAGATCAACACGTAAGAGAGCTAATCAGCACCAGCAGCGGATTACTATTGACAAGTGCCGCCGCGCGAGTTAACACACCTGCAATTGCTCTACCGTGCGGCACGCCGGGTTATTTATACCATTCTTACCTGATTCCCGTTGCTCGGTATTGAGTTCAGTACTTGTTGCTCTGCCTAGCGTTTCTTACTCCCTTTTGCCTTCCTGGAATTCTGCCTTCACCTTTTGCCTTCGGACTTCGGATCTCGTCTCGCCCCTTGGATTGTTTGCTATCTTTGCCTGTTTCGGATTTGACCCTTCAGACCTCTTTTCGACCAGGTTTCTGTCTCACATTTTGGATTGTTCGCCACTAGTGCCTTTACTGGATCTCGACCTACCTTCGCCTTCGGACTACGACTCAGCTCCTGGTTTTGCTCAGTACGCTTACTACGACTCCTGCATCTGCATCGGATCCTTTTCACCTCTACAGAGCAGCGTTGCACTCTGGGTGGGACCGCTTGCCCAGCACAGGCTCAGAGACACAAACACAGAAACATACACGCTCACACCCAGGACCAAGCTTCCCGGTAGTCCATTAACGTACCGGCACGTCTTTGAACTGTGGGCCTGAGGTCAGTGAAGGGGGAGCTGTGAGCAGGCTGTTGCCCCATAACACTAACATGATGCCCAAGACATGACTACACTACGCATGAGAAAAACACACTAGGAAATTCTGCAAAACCGAAAGCAAAGACCAAATTAATATCCTTGCATATCAGTATTGATATCTGGTTGCAAAGCTTGTGATTACATTTTGTGAGGTTTTGCCTCTAAAGGCGGGCATGTGCTTTAAGCCAGTGTCTCAAGACCAGGGCTTTTGTTCTTAGAAGTCTTGTGTCACTTGAGCAACCAGCAGCTTTATCACCCTGCAGCTCTCAACTGGCAGCCCACTGAAGCTCAGCAGGTGTGAGCCTGGTCAGTACCTGGATGGGAGACCTTTTGGGAAGCTATGGTTGCTGCTGGAAGTGTGTTAGTGGGATAAGTGGGGGGGTCTGTGTGGGTCCTAATGCCCCAGTATAGTGGAGGGGACACTATACTGTAGTGGATTCTATCTTTTGGATGAGCCATTAAACTGAGGTCCTGACTCTCAGTGGTCATTAAAGATCCTTGGGCTTTTCTCGATAAGAGTAGGGAGTTATCCCGGTGTCGGGGCAAAATTTTCCCCCTTTACCATGGCCTCCAAACTGTCCCCATGTGTGATGGGCTTGCACTGGCCCTGCGATGGACTGGCGTCCTGTCCAGGGTGTACCCTGCCTTGCGCTTGTTGCTTGCCAGGTAGGCTCCGGCTTCCCCTGACACCGTAGGGTATAAAGCAGTTTGACAAATGACATCACATGACATGACATGTATCACTTGAGAGACCTGAAGAACTGAGATAAAGTATATTAAAATATACCCAAATAACAGTTTAAAACTTTATCGACCATTCCAAATAAAGACTGTGACTAGATGATGTCTTGGTCATCTAGATTGCTGTTTTGCTTCTTTTGTTCAGCTTCTGTATAGTCAAAAGTATGAGCACACTAAAATGGTGCTTTCTTTACTCGCCAGCAGCTCTGGCTCTCTTGCTGTGATTAAATCATTCAGATTCACTGGCACACAGAATACTTGAAGAATGTGTAGCACGAGGTGCATGCCTCAAGACCTTGCTAGAAATGACACCACACACATTGAAATGTATCCTGCTGAAGCAAGGTAGAGCGGTGTGGTGAGAGACACTAAGGCAAAAATCATAAAACATTTAAAAATTTCTCTTCATTTAAGGCAAGGGGTTTTCAAGCAGTGTTTCCCCTGCTGGTCCTCTTCAGGGACCGTCTAGTCTGTTCTGGGTAGTCAGGAACAAAGGGGAACTTTCTAAACCCTGAGTCTTGTAGATGACAAAAAACAGCATCTGAGTGCATTTTCAGTACATGTGCTTTCCTTCATGTTGCTCTTTTAATATTTTATACTTAATACTAGCATTATCAGTAATAATGTAAGGCTTAAATTGGATTTCCCCCTTAAAAATAGATTGGTGAGAATTATGTATTGAAAGGTGGTCCCTCAAAGAGAAAAAGGTTAATAAGGAGATTCAATAAACATTCAATAAATTCACCTCAATAAATCACCTTTATTCAATCTTATCAAAGATTGAAAAGCCATCTTTTGGTACCATAAACGTCCATCCATTTTCTAGCCAATTCTGGCAATTAGAGTCGCAGGGGAGGCAAAGGGCAGAAGGCAGGATAGACCCAGGACAAGAGGCCTATCCATCGCAGGGCAGATAGACAAACTCGCACATACCAGGGCCAGATTTCCAGACGCCAATTAACCTACCAGTCTGTCTTTTGGGCTGGAACATGTTCAAATTCAAGTGGGGAACAGCGTCAGCGTGTGTGAAAATCGAAAATTCTGCCGCGGGCTTTCAAACGAGAGGCGGATTCGGGCCTGACGTGAAAACCCTCTGAGGCGGCGTGAACGACCAAGCGCACAGCAGGTTTTATGAGCTTCGACTCACCGGAACAATAGGAGACGACAGTACAAATCCTCCGTCGCGTTCCCAGCCCCAGTGTGAAGAAACGTAGCGGTGAGCTGCGTGGGCTGAATGACAAGGGGTGTCCGGGCTGGAGAAGATGCCCTGTGTTTGCATGCCAAGGTCCGAGAAGCTGGCTGTCTTGGAGACCGAGCTATACAGCAGCTGCTACTCCCTTGTAACCTTCCCTGTCACACACGTCAATCTTTCCCCTTCCTTCTGCACATCCTCTCTTTGTACATGTTGCTGAAGTACATTCCTGGCACTCTGGTGACCTCTTTCCTATGATACCATAATGAGGACCTGCTAGTGTGGGCTGGCGACTGAAGAGAAATGGTCAGAGGCAGGATTGTTGTGATTACCGCTACATTTTAATTTTGGTTTTCCAGATATTTGTGTGGGTGGGTGCTGTTGACAAGGTGTACAAATAAATGCGTTGGTGGCTAGTGTGTTGTTTCGTCTTCGTTATTATTATTATTATTTGGGCATTAGCTGCCGGCTGATAAAAAACTGCTCTTACTGTAAAGGCTACACCTCGATTGTAGTTGTTACTTTTTATAATATAGCTATAATTCAGTAATGCAGTCGTTCTTGAAGGATAAATATGCATTTGACTGAAGAATGCGCAGTCAACAAACAATTTTTTATGCAGTTCTGGTTCATTGCATTCACAGTTCATTATTTTATTATTAATGAGAACATTAAAACAGCTACAGATGTCCTGCTGAGCATTCGATCAACTAGCTCTTTTGCTATATAGTTTACTTCATACATAATTCATGCTTTCAGCCTATCTACAGTAAACTGTCTGTAATAAATGTTCTTTTTTCTAGCCATGTCTGAGCTGGAATAGGTTCCCAGTGTCAGAGACTGCTGTTGATTAAGTTAGTGATTAGCAGGGCTGTCAGACATGCTGCCAGACTGCCCCTGCCTCTCTGTGCTGAATGTGTGTTCTCAAGCCCTACAGTACATCAGGCCAAAGGAATCACATCTAATTGTACTCTTAATACAGATAGTCACTTCTGGATTTCCCTGTAGCTTTTACAAGCTGTTTTAGTGCGTTTATCGTTTATCCCTGTTTTCATTCTTTGTGTTAAGTAGATTATGATTGTTACTAAGAGATATCAAAGCCATTTGCTGTCTGTTTCTCAGTGTTTTCCACTTGCTTAGCACTGTGATGGTGAACTACGGCATCCCAACTCTGCTCTGACTAGAATCCCTGTCTCTACGCTGTTTGCCTTATCGCAGGCAGCTGTCACAGAGGGGGGCAAGGCCTCCATCCTCTACTGACACTGGAAACATTTGTCTGTGTTGCTCCGGACTATGTAAAAAATCAAGCCCATTGAAATGGCTTCATGAACAGCCTGTTGCCAAATAAATGCAGCTTCTTGCTGTGTAAAAGAGTTTTCATTGGATTTAATTTAATTATTTATTAAGCCATCCCAGACTTTTTAAAAAAATCAATTGAGT